TCTTACACAGCCAACACTTTCTGATTAGGAACAAAATAATCCATGAGAAATAATTATCTAAACAACTTTTTATATGGACTTAAGCCTAATGTCTGGAAAGTGTAATCCATTGAACTCTTAAAAATGTACTAATCATGGTACTCTTTGGTTGTACATTCCTTTGGGATCAATGATTTTTCTATATATTTAAAAAAAAGGCACGCACACTTTATTTTTGTAATGCAAAAGAATTTGTTAAATATACCCCCTTAGAATAGAAGGCTCAATGGGTTTGCTCTGGGTAGAAAGAGTACCCAGAGCACTCCCGAAGAACTAGGAAGCTACCCAGAGATTTCACTGAAAGCCAAGTGAGTTAAGAGCTTAGGAACTTGTTTCACTTGCTGATCATTTTACAGTGATTGCCATTTGGAAGCGTGCTGCTCTGAACTGGACAAACATGTTAGTTACAACCCTTCTGTGATATCGTCAAAATGAGGATAGGGTTAACTGAGTATTGTCCATTTTGTAGCCTAGCGGGAACACTGCATATAGAATGATCATAATATCCATAGTCACCAGTGAAAGGAGTGACTAAGAGTTATTCAGATTTCTGGGATTGTTCAGGACAGCCATTCTCCTTGATGAAAATTAGCAGGAACTCATGTCCAGGAACAGGAAGACATAAAAGTAACATATAACCCAAAGGATCCTATACAGATGTTATCTTGGCCCACGGAGAAGTGCATGTTCTCTGTAGACAAATCTAAGGATTTTTTTTTTAATCTTCATGAACATCTGGGGACTCCTGGGCTTGTGCTGAGACTCTGAGATTAGCCCAACCACTGCAGCTGCTTTTTACAACCTTTTTGAAACCCAAATCTTTTACATGTGCCCAGTCATGGTCCACTGGTTTAAGAACTTCTTAATAGGGTGATCATACCCTGAGAAGTTGTCATTCCTAGTCAAGACACAACATGGACATGAGGGGTCCTGCTCAGGTCCTAGGCCTGCTGCTCTTCTGGTTTCCAGGTAAGGAGATGTGGTGGTATTTCTATTTAATTTTTTAGCCCAGGAACTACCAGTGATGTATGGCTTTTCAGGGATGTGATTTGCAATGTAATTAATACTATATATGTGTCTTATTTTTCCAATCTCAGGTATAAGATGTGACACCCAGATGACTCAATCTCCATCCTCCTTGTCTGCATCTTTGGGAGACAGAGTCACCATCACTTGCCGTGCCAGTCAGGGCATTAGTAATTTTTTAGCTTGGTATCAGCAGAAACCAGGGACAACTCCTAAACTCCTGATCTATGGGGCATCAACCCTACATTCTGGGGTCCCATCTAGGTTCAGTGGTGGTGGATCTGGAACACAATTCACTCTCACCATCAGCAGCCTGGAGTCAGGAGATGTTGGAATATACTATTGTCAACAGTATGGTTACCTTCCTCCCACAGTGATACAGTTCATAACATAAACCTCACAGAGAAGAAGAAGGGTGAGGCTGTGTTGTCCCAGTTGCATCTGCTGGAACTTGTGACTGCTATGACCCTTTTGCAGATGAAGCTGGGTTTGGACAATCACTACAAGGATTTGATAGGAGGATACAAGGAGGCTGCTCTGTATCTCAACTCTTGTTCTTCCTTCTCAGGCAATGAAGCTCAGAAGGACAAGGACACTCTTGATCTGTTAAAAAACTCAGATGTTTACATATAAGATAATTAAGTTTAATATAATTGGGGCTCATAATCCTATTGCTGTTGTTCTTGGTTACCTGCAGAACTGGATGGTAAGACCCATTAAGGAAGAAAATACATACACACATAAGTTGTGGAACGAACATGGAGAAATCAAACTCCCACTAGCACTGAAGCTTCATCTCTACTAGCTAGCTGTCATAGTGCTCAAAGGTGTTATTCATACTACCATAAGAGAAAAGTAATCATTAATACTACACAGCTCTGAATCCTGTGAATACAGTGACAACTGGCCTGAAAGACATGCTCACTGCTGCTATAATGGCACAAATGATATGACAGTGACAAACCATTCTCTGGTAGGAATTAAGTTCCAGTTCACAAAATGGAGCTCATATCTGGCACTGCTATTTGGGTTAATAATTTGTGATTAGACTGGTATCAGGCCATAGGGGAGAACCTACTGCTAACATTTTGCTAAATGGGTTTAGCAATAAATTGACTCCAAAGAACTTATCATTATACTCATTGATTATAACATATCTCAATGCTCATCAGAGAATATTCTTAGTGAAGTAGGAGGCAATTAACAAAGAGACCCACAGTGGTCAGCAGGTAGATAATAAGAGGCTCTGACTGCAGGGTGCTTGGTCCTAAAAGGGACTCATATCATAACCCCCCCTTCAAAGTTTTAGGTCAGAATAGGGGTCAGAGAATTGAAAATCCAGAGGGGGTGGATAAATGCAAGGAACACTTGTTTTCTGAACATAACAAACATGTTCCACATATTAACCGATGGGGCCCTTTGGAAACGCAAGCCAGACATAAAGCCAGCATGGAGGGTGGAGATGGGGAAGAAGCCCCAACCCTAGCTAAGGAGCATTAGCAAATGATACTGCTTAGAGAGGGAAATTCAGTTTTCTTTAAGGGTGAGGCACAGGGTAGCATGATCAGATTCCAGGGGATGGACCTATACACAAGAGTATTTGGATAGCCAAAATTAGACTCCATAGGCCTTAAAAATAATAGAGTACATGAAGCTAGGGCATGATAGTTGGGAGTTCAGGGTGGATCAGATTGGAGATAATGCAAGATGGTCTGAATATGACAAAAAATTATAATCTCTGAAATTATGAAATTATCTATCAAAATATTGCTTAAAATCTATGTACAAATGGGGGGAACAAATTTATTTAAGATGTACTATATGAAATGCACAAAAACTCAGTAAAAGTTTGGGAAGGTATCTATGTACAGGAAGCCAGCACATTTGCATCTGGCTTCCCTAGCCTCCCAAGATCCATTCATCTCTACTCTCTCTCTCCCATTGCACTTGTCACCTCCCATCCCAGTCCAAGTGCTCCCATTATCCCAGCCCTCCCAATAACAACTACCTCCCACCAACCTCCCTCTCCTGAGTTCCCTCATATACACCACCATGGCCCCCATAAATCCTCCCTCCTCACCTCCCAGCCAAACACTCCCACTTTCCCTACCTCCCCCATGGTAACATCTGTTCCCTAATATTCTCCTCATTCCTCTTTTGTGCTCTTTCTTTCCCTTGACCTCCATTTTTCCTCTCCATTTTGCTGACTCCTGATGTTACATCAGGATAAATATTCACATAAAAGGGATTGGTGCAACAATGTTGAAATGAGGGAGAAGATACATGACTTGCTTTCCTGAGCTTGTTTTATTTCACTTACTGTACAGTCTCTAGTCCAATCCATTTGCCTGCAAATTTTATAATTTCATCTTTTCTTACTGCTGAGTACAACTCCATTTTGTAAATGTACCACATCTTCATTATCAATTTATCAGTTAAGGAACACTTAGATTGTTTTCGTATCTTAGTTATTGTGAAGAGAGCAGCAGCAAACATGGTTGTACAGATATCTCCACAGTAGGATGAGCCTTTGGGTAGATGCCAAGGAGTGGTATAACCGGATCACATGTACAAACTTGCACAACCACTTTGGAACTCAGTGTGGAGAACTCTCAAGTAATTAAAAATGAATCTAACACATGATAAGAAGTATTTTTAAAAGTGTTCTGCAGCCTTAGTATTGTGGAAATGGAAGTTAAAACCACTTTGATATTTTTTCTTATACAAGTCAGATTGCCTAAGATCAGGAAAACAAGTGACAACAAATTCTGGCAGGAATACAGCAGAAGAGGAACTCTCATTCACTGCTGGTGGCACTGTCAACGTGTTTAGTCACTGTGGAAATTGGTGTAAGGAAATCCCAAAAAAACTGCCTGTAGGTCTACCTTATGACCCAGGTTGTGGGAAGAGAGGACGGCTGAGCCAGCCAAAGATGGTGCCTTGGCTGGCTGCCAAGCCTCATGCTTGTTTACTCCAGCTCTTGGCTGATTGCCAAGTAGTCATTTGCCACATAAGCACAATGGAGTTTTATTCAACAATGAAGAAAAGTGAAACCATGAAAACTGGGGATAAATGAATGGAACTGAAAAACATTATGCTGAGTGAAGCAATCAAGATCTAAAAATATATTTTTATTTCCTAACTCTGAATTTTATATATGAGTGTGTAGTCTGAGGTAGTTGCAGAAGTGGGGAAAGTAGAAAGGAACCCTGAAGGGGGAGGTTTCGCCTTCTATCTATCAGGGAGGAAACAAGAAAAATGGAGGAACTTTAATTTGAAAGGGTGGAGGGAGATAGAGGAAGGAGAGATAAACAATAGTTTGAAGGTCTGAAACATCCACAGAGATGCATAATAATTTATAAACTGACTTCAAAATTCTATCTTCTATCATCCATCCGTCATCTATCTTTCTTTCTATCTATAATCTCTATCTATCTATCTATCTATCTATCTATCTATCATCTATGTATCTCTCATATATCATCTATCATCTATCTATCATCATCTATCTATCTATCATCTATCCATCTAATATCTAGCTAGCTAGCTAGCATCTATCACACATGTGTGTTTGTGTGTGTGTGTGTGTATAACTGAAGGCTATTTATTAAAAATCCCATTGCCAGGCAAAGGAAACCTTACTTTATGTTATTGGTCAGGAAATTTCAAGAAACACCCAAATCAGAAATTATCTCAATA